TCAGCTCTTCTCTACAATGAGTCTTCAGATGCCCAAAAAGTGTCAGTGTTCCCACTTCAAAGGAAAACTGCAACAGTGCACCAATGATACAGGACAAAATTCATCAGACCCAGTACAGAAAATATTCCAAGAAAAGCATGGTCAAGACGTGTTTAGTTTATTAAATCATAAAAAGTTTTGTACCCAATCATTTGGTTTTGACATCATATGAACCAAATTAAGTTGCTTCATTCCATTGCCTATTTTCAATAATAATAACAATAATAGTAAGTTGCTTCATGCTGACCTTTTTCATTTCATGGAAGGTGTTGATGATGCGCCCGCCATGCCAGGACTCCAAGGTGGAGGCTGTCATGGCATCAATATCAGCCACCAAGTTCCGGATGGACTCTGGGGACAGGGAGCCTTGCACTAGCTTTCTCAGGCGAATATGGTAGTCTCCTTGATGGAAAAACAGGGCTGCCGGGCCAATGAGTTTCTCCTTGCTTTTGGGGTAGGTTGGCTTGAACAAGTGAGCCAGGGTCACCAACACAAACCGAACTGCCTCACGGCTAGCCAGCATCACACAGGGACACCCCAAAATGTGTGTCTTGAAAATCTCTCCATACCTGAAATAATGAAATCCCTCATTCCAAAACATGTAAGGCTTAAAACAGAGTATATTGATAAAATAAAGAACTGAAGTAAAAACAAGAAGAAATTTGAAACCTTTTCTGTTTGGAAGCAAAGAAAATATTTGGGTCTTGAGAGTAGAGTTGAAGGGTTCCTCCTATGAACGGCCAACCCATTGATCCCGGAGGAAGGTTAACTCTTTTCTTGGGCTGTTTCTTCTCCTTTCTCAAGGATTTATGTAAAAACAGAGTAAAAAGAAAGATTAGAATGTAAACAAAAATTTCACCCATATTAGTTTTTTTCCTCCACAATTTCTGAGCAGGCAGCTAGGCTAGTTATGAGTTTGTAGTAAACTTCAGGAATTTGTTAAGATGGTGGAGGAGGGGGGATTGCGTTGGTTTATATAGGAAAAAACAGAGGAAGAGGTCGAGGAATGAGGTCAATATGGTAAGATCCATGCAAATCTTGATAGATTAAAATCCCATTTTGATCCCTCTACTTTAATCAAAAGTCATTTTTTAGTCTCTCTATTTAAGAAAACTTATTTTTTGTCTCTAAAGTTTATTATTTGATACCTTGTTAATTCATTTATTCTTTTTTACATATATGACACGTTAGAGATGGAAATTCTAAAATAAAGGAACTAAAAAGAACTAAAAAAGTTTATTTTTGGTTCCTCTACTTTAAAATAGTTTTTTTTGGTCCCTCTATTTTTTTTTTTAAAGCCTCTTTCTAATTCTTTTACTTAAAAATTTTCATTATCTAACATGATATTTGTGCAAAAAGATAATAGAATTATTAAAAATGAGTCAGATAATAAATTTTAGGGACAAAATAAGTTTTCTTAAGTAAAGGGACTAAAATAGAACTTTTTAGTAGAGGGACTAAAATAGGGTTTTAACCATCTTGATATTATTACACAACAAATATACACTTCAAAACGTATCCATAATTCTTTGGCCAAAGAGAAAAAACATATACATAAGTCTGTTTTGCTTACCTATTTCAGGATGACTAAATTGAAAAGAATGAAAACTATGGTTCAAAGAAAAAAAAAAGAATTTTGGGGAAAAGAGAAATCTAAAAGAAGGAAAAATATAAAATAAAAATAGTTTATTTATGTAGTTTAAATTACACCATATTATAAAAATGAACTATTGAATTGGGGGGAGAAGAAACTTCTCAATTCAATAGTTTGTTTTTAAAGAAGACTCAATTTTAATCATATTGATATACTTTAATTTGCTGTTATGAAGTGCGCAGAGCCAACTTGCAAAGTGTGGGGACCTAGACCTAGCCAATGGAGCCCATGCACATAACTTTAAAGGGGTAAAATTGTAATGTTCAATTTTTGTTTAAATTTTTTGCTGACGGGCATAATCGTAATTGTACGGGATGGGCCACCATTGGCTAATTCTTCAAGATGCCTCTGGTTTGAACCAGAGAGAAGAAAATTTAGGGTTGAATTCAATGGTTTGTGTAAATTGACCACCTACTCAGATTTAATAAAACCTTTGAATTTAATTTTATTTTGAAGGGTTTTTCTAGCACATATTAAAGATATATTTAATACACCATTTTGTTGTTAAAAAATAAAATTTAACTTTAATTTTAATAATTAATCAATTAAATTAATATACATAGTATTAAAATTAAAACTAATATAAATTGTTTAATTTTTCTTATGACTTAATAATTAAATGTTATATTCATTGTATTCTTGTTTTGTACTTAAAAACACGAATTAAAAGAAAACTTATTTGAAAATGTCCAATTTAACATTTTCATATATTTAATGCTTCTTATCCAAATGAATATTAAGCACTAATGAATTTTCAGGGCAATTGTCCAATTGTATTTTCTGGATTTTGCTAGATCTAGAAGAGAAAGACAAAATTGTTTTTCCAAAAGGATGATGCTACGGTCCGATCGGTGCCAAGACCGAACCATCTCTGTGGCTTTTTAGCTTTTTAATTTTAGGTTCAATAATTTTTTATTTTTACTTTTAAGTCCTATAACTTTTAGTTTTTAAATTATCAAAACTTAAAGTATAAACATTAAACCTTAAATTCTAATATTGATGTTTGATGGCAACATAAAAGGAAAAAAAAAAAAACTTAAATTGTAGGGTGTTATTGCCACACCCTCAATTGTCAATACCATATTTTTTTATTTTAATTGACTATTATATTCTTTAATTTATTAAAAAAAAATGTAAATTTTTGAAAAAAATGTAATGTAAGGATATAATAAGTAATCACATTAAAAAAATGTGACATTAACAATTTAGAAAGTGACAATAACTCCACCCAAATTGTAATGATATAAATTCTAAATCATAAATACTAAACCTTAATTATTATATCCTAATCTTAGTTAATAAACCCTAAAACTTAAGAATATAAATTAATCATAAACCTTAAATACTAAATCCTAAATGTTAACATATAAACCTTAAACTATATTAATTTAAACTCTAAATCTTTAACACTAAACTCTAATTAGAAATAAACTAAATACTATATAATAGCCAAAAAGTTTAAGGACTAAAATAAAAATAAAATACTAAATTCAGGGACCAATTCTGATATTACACTTCAAAAACAAAAAGAAATGAACCCACGTGGATGCGCCACGTCCATTAGATCCAGATTCAGTTTTGGTGGTTTCGTCGTTTCGGCTTCTTAATTATCATTCTTTTCGTTTTCAAAAAAATAATAATAATAATAAGTGAGAAAAATTGACTTCAGGAGGAGACAAGGATTTTCAATTTAACAAAACAATTATGGTCAATACCAAGTAGTTTGGATATATAGGTAACCGTCATTGTCCTCCTCTTTGCCTTTGGTTCACTGCAATCGGAAAAACGACTAGCATTTTCTAGTTGACAATGATCTTGTAAGAACTTCTAGAACAGGAGAAAACATAAGACAAATAGAAATTATAACCTAAATCTCCTCTGCTGTAACTCTTACAAGAAAGATTAATTTTTTTATAAATTTAATAGTTATATAAAGAATTTGATTTTTATAATTCAAATGTAAAATAGACTTTTAAATAAAGATAAGGTTTTTAATATTAGAGGAATTTTTTTAATCTAAAAGTTAATATTTTATAGTTTAAAATAATTCAAATTGTAAATTTTTTTTTTTTAATTTCCTTTTTTTTTAATTATTATTCAATTGGTATTTACGCTAAAATGTAGAACAACTTAGTTAAGGACTTGTGAACAATGTTGCGTTCCAACATGAGAAATTTGTAATTAACTAGTTTTTTTTTTTATCGAATTTTTTAATTAACTATTAATAATATGAATGAAGTACAAAGTAATGCCACATAATCTACTTTAGTTTAGGCATGAGGTACTTCTGAGAAAAAAATGGTAAATATTGATGACTTGGCATCTTTTTCAATTAAAGATGGTTAGAAATGAATAAAAACTATTAATGCTACACATGTGGTAGTTATTGTCATAAAAAATATTAAGATTATTAATTTTTTGGTTTTGTTAAATAGTATTTGAAAATATTAATTTGTTGATTGATTTTAATTTACTAACTAATAAATATCAACTATTTTATTAGTTATGAGTAGTTTATTAGTTATTAGTTAATAATTATAGTTATTAATTATTTTTAGCTTTTACCAATCAAATTAAATAGAATCAATATTTTTATAAATAAAATTTTATATTTTTTAATGGTTTTAATGTTTTGATTGGTGTAATAACCAGCATATTTTTCCTAATTTCTAGGAATCAATATAATTAAATGTGCATAACCTGATTAATGGTTGGGATTAATTGCCAATTATGGGGATTTATGATCTCAATTTTTTATATTAAATTAAAGGTTCAATTTAAAGATTTAATTTGGGATTAATGCCTTTTAATTTAGAAATTTTTATTTCCTCAACTAAAATTCATGAAGTCTGTCACTTAACCTTATTTTCCCTTCTCAAAATAAATTCACTTTTACACAGTAAACACTTCCTCCTAAATCCAGTTGTCTTCTTCTCCTATAGCTCAACCTTAAAATTTTAATGGTGAGTATATTTGTTCCTTTTGATTTTATTCTTTCTCATTTTCTCGAATCTTTATTGCTAAACCCAATATTTTAATCCCCAAATCTCTTTTTACACTTGTTATTAAGGTTTTGTATTAGATCTGATATCAAAATTTTAAATTTGGTAAGTTTTTATGTTTTGTCTTAAGAATTACTAAATTAGGAGTAGATGGTGTAAATATATATATATTGATTTATTAGTAGAAATTAAAGGGGAAAGGAGTCACTACAACAGCAGTCACACGATTGCATGTGAGTGCTATCACGCAAGGATGAGTGGCGATGATGTCATTGCCTTATTGGCTTGAGATTTGCAGTAGTGTCGATACTCTAATCCTGGTAACAGATCATGTGTTGACACCTACGGCTCCATTAAAATAATAAAATAAAAATAGTTGGGGTGGATAGTGCCGTGCGATGGAGTTCGTGGGTAATGTGGGACAGGTTTAAAGGTTGATTTAATGGTGCCAACACCTTCAATTTTAATCAGCAAACATGTGTAGACATATGTGTAGGAAATTTAATATGAACCTTATAAAATTAGATATCATTAACCTAAATTAGAATTAGTAGTTTTGGATTGTTGTTGATTAATATTAAATGTAAATTTTAGGTTTTTGATTATTTGCACATTTTAAATTTAATATCTCTATTTTCGAGGTAAGTAAGTTTATGATTTTATTCTTAACTTTAAATATAATTTTAAAACATGATTTTTATCAATTTTGAGATGGTGGCGAGATTAAGAATCTATTTTGGTTTAGTCATCATGACTGAATCTCATTTTATTCAAAGTTGAATTTTAATTGTTTAAGCAAGCCTAATTGTAGAAATTTCTTAATACATGCTGCTTGATCCTTGTGATATATGTTTTCTTGAAATATGTATGTTTACTTGACATGTACTTGCTAGCCTGTTCCGGTCTCCAGTATAGTCATTTCTACTTGTACCTGTTAGTGGGAGGTTTATAAACGCTAGCATATGTCGACATGTTTCTTGTAGAACTGATTCATTCTTATTATACTTGTTATCCTGCTTGTGGGATTATACACTAGCAAATCTTGTACTCGCCAGTGGGAGGTTTATAAACGCTGGCCATGATTTATAGAGGAGACATCTATTTATTTCTCGTGCTTATACCAGTTTTCTTGATACTTGTTTTATACTTGTTGGCTTGATTAATTTTAAATTTATAAATAAAGGAGAAGCCTAATATTCACCTACTGAGAGCAAATCTCACGTTTTTCCTTATCCACCATTTCAGGTAACGATACTAGAAACGTTGGGGATCAAGGCATGTGACAGATACTTATTAGAGTCAGTTTGGACTTAGTTTAGACTTGATTTAGTTTTTTTGGACTTATTAGAAAGTTGAGGATTTGGTTTGCAATTATACATAATTTAACTTCGAAGTATTTATTTGAACATTACTCAAAATTTTAATTATAATAGAGGTATTAATAGACTTTATTTATTTGTAATTGATTATGAATAGCAAACTAACTTGGTTCTGAGCTTGGTGTACTTGTGGGTCCTACTGTACGGTATTTGTTTAGCTCTAAGGTCTAAGGTGTGACAATTGGTGACCACAACCCTACCTATACATGTATATATATTTTTGATCTTACATTATATAATAAGAAACCATTATCTCATGTCCTTTCATTCACCCTACGTATGTTATGTAATTTGAACTTAAAATCTCTTATTTTCACTAGAAAGAAATTATCACTAAATTATTTATATCAATGGCACACATATAATGATATTAATATATTATTTTATATAATATTATGTGATATTAAATAAATATATATTAATTTATAAATAATCTTTTAATAAAATAATTAATTATTATGTCTATCTATTTTTAGATGTCGCCCTTTCATATGGTATTATAAAAGAAAATTTTAAGAAAAAATCTGAAAAACACAATTATTACTCTAAATTTCATTTTTTTTTCTAAAAGAAATCCATTCAAGGCATTTAATAAGAGTGTCTTTGGATCTTCGACCCAATAGCGTCAAGTCACATATAAGTGCATTTCCCCTCCCCAGGACAACAATTCGAATCCGACCCATTGCAAACTTATTCAAAAAAAAAAAAAAAAGGCATTTAATAGGAGTACAGTTGAAATAAAGTATTTAGAGCTTGTTTGGTGCAGATTGTGGGAAGAGCTTTTTGGCTCGAAAAGCACAAGCTGCACCAAACGGGTCAACTTCCAAAACTTGCTGCAGCTTTTGAGAAG